ACAAGTGTATGTTGCGGCAAATGATTATATGTAGCAACATTTGAGTCATATGTTGCTACAGATGATTATATGTAGCAACATTCGTCCGTCACAACATGTGGCATATCTTGCTACAACTGATATATCTGTTGCAACATTTATTGCATATGTTGCCACATCTAATATATATAAAAGCACAGTCATAATCATTATTAAAAGTATATGTTGCTACAGATGATTATATGTAGCAATATTTGAGTCATATGTTGCTACAGATGATTATATGTAGCAACATTCGTCCGTCACAACATGTGGCATATGTTGCTACCGATGATATATCTGTAGCAACATTTATTGCATATGTTGCCACATCTAATACATCTAAAAGCACAGTCGTAATCATTGTTTAAAAGTATATGTTAACATTTCAGTCATATGTTGCTACAGATGATTATATGGAGCAACAATCGTCCGTCACAACATGTGGCATATGTTGGTACAGCTGATCCGTCTGTAGCAACATTTATTGCATATGTTGCCATATCTAATATATCTAAAAGCACAGTCCAACGTAATCATTAGTTAAAAGTAGATGTGGCTATAGATGATTTTATGTAGCAACATTTGAGTCAAATGTTGCTACAGCTAATGCGTATATCGCAACATTCATCTGTCACAATATTTGAGTCATATGTTGGTACATATGATTATATGTAGCAACATTTGAGTCATATGTTGCTAGATATAATCATCAATGGCAACATATAGTATTGAATAATGATTACGTTAGAGTGTGCTTTTAGATATATTATATGTGGAAACATATATGTCATATGTTGCTACAGGCGAATCACAACATGTGGCATATGTTGCTACAAATGATTCGTCTGCAACAACATTTGTTGCATATGTTGCCACATCTAGTATATCATGTAGAAACATTTGTCATGTTTTGACACAAACAAAAAAGAGCGAAAAATCACGGATTGGGTGATTTCTAAATAAGATTATATAATAGAGATCATACTCAAATAAGAAAGAACATTCATTTAAATTCAACAACACAATGCTTAACACTTCTTATGAGGCATTCCGATTTGGGAAGGTAGTTTTTTGTGGCCAAAGTTCCTACATACTGAATACTTATTTTTTCTTGTTGGAAATGATTCACCAACTCCACGCCGTATCTTATATGTCCTTATCCCTGGTTTTCTTGGATCAACATATGGATGAGGTATTTCTCTTTGTGTGATATTTTAAGGAACAATCCAAGAATCTTTAGTTGGCACCGGGTGAATTTCCTGACAATATGCCATTGTGTATTTTTTCACTGAATAATATGGAGAGGAGTACAAGTAAATCTCATTTCCAAAATCATCACCATGTTGGGATCGAATCGTTGCCATTGCATGTGGACATGGTATTTTGTCCAAATAAAAAATTCTACAAGTACAAGTTCTTCTTTGTAGATCCACAGTAGCAACATCTCCATGACCAGTGACACTGAACTTGTAGTTAGCGATTTGATGGGCCAACAACTTGTTATCCGCATTGACATACTCTGATATGTCTTTTTCAATTGAAGGAACAAATCTATTTGCGGAGTGCACAAGCTCCATACGCCTCTGGTGAAATAAAAATGCATATATCCTGTTTATTTCATCAAATAGAGCGACAATGGGAAATTCTCTTTCAACATCAAACATAACATTCACCGATTCTGTGATGTTTGATGTCATAATGTTATATCTACACAACAATAGATGAAAATCAAACAATAAACATAAAGTAAAAATAAACTCAATGGAGATGGTACCTATTCCCAGGAAAAATGCCCTACTCCATGTATGAAATCCAATACGTTCAAGAGCTTCAGCGACCTTTTGTACCAAATCTCTTATTTGATTGAAATGGTCATTGAACTCACATATATCGTACTTCTTTTCCGCTTTATAAAAATGGGACACTACCTTTCAATTGTGAAAAGTATTTCGAATATTTTTCCCAAGGTGTCTCATGCAACAACCATAAAGACATGGAGGGTAGATTCTCAAGACCATCTTTTGAATATTGGATGCCAATTAGAGATAATGCACAACTCATCAGTATAATCTCCAGATATTCTCATATTTCAAAAAAAATATTCATATGAGGCATCACATTCCTTGTCCACGACTCAGAAAGCCACTGAAAATATATGATTCTCGGCATCTTGTGCCACCGCCGATAGCAGAACTCCTCTTTACTTGCTCCTTAAAAATGTACCATCAACGACTATTATTTTTCTCATTTCTTGAAAACCAATTATCCAAGTAGCATATGATACAATGAAGTACTGGAACCTCCCACTTTTATTGAGCGACAATGTCGTCTTGCTTCCTTGATTTGCAACTTCAAGCATATACCAATACGCATTAATCCATGCTTACACGTGCTCATGTGTTCCCCTAACATTAGACTTAACATGCTCCATGCCCTTATAAATCTTCTAATAGCTTACCTTACAACCCTATTCTGTGCGGAGTTGATTTGACATATCTCTTATGGATGGACCTTTACCATTGTGAAACATATTTTCAAAGTACTTACCTATGACTTTTGTCGTGGCGTGGGGATTATGGCTTGTAAGATTCTATGAACCAGACGTATGGTACTTTTCATAGATTCTAACGGAAAACCTGTCACTACTTGTAAATTTCACAGCCCCCAGCCACCAATTGCAATCTGGATATGAACATTTAAAGGAAAATACATTACGAGAATTGATCACCTTTTTCAATCTAAAATCATGTTTCAAGCAAGCAATTTTAAATGAATTTGTCAATTCTTGCTTGTTCTTGAATGTCATTCCCTTATAAAATCCTGTTTCATCATCTCTAACATTATTCGCAGGTGAATTTTGAGAAGCACATGGATTGTTGCTGCCAACTATAGGTGTGGGAGGAAACTTGCTCTCAAGGTCCACCCTTCAGCTTGAGCTTCACCTTCGCCTTCACCTTCACCCATTCCAATTTCATCATCAGGATTATTCATGTCCGCAGGATGGAATTCATCATTAAACATATCTTGTTGGCCTTGGTCTATATTACGATCCTCCTCGATAGGAGTTTCTTCCACGTAGACTCTTAATATTGGCGGTTTCTCTGTTCCTCCCAAATAAACACTCAATCTAGATTGATCAGTTATTCTAAAAATTAAAACCTTCTCATTATGAAAAAATGGGGAATGTAACTCATGACAAGATCTTGTGGTTTACAATTGTATCCAGACTTTTGCACAACTAAATTAAAGAACTCATCATACAAAATGTTTTTTTCGACATACATCCCTACTGAACGGCTCCTCGTTTTTTACTATCCTCCCAACACCATATGAATTGATTTTTCTTCTCAGCCCATTCACCACTACAAACAATCCCTACAAATAATGACATTGTACCTGAAGAAAATAATTTAAAAAATAGTTAGTAGTTATGAAGAATAAGCATATGTAGCAACATATGACTATTCTGTGGCGATATTTGAGTCATATATTGCTACTTATGACTGTTCTGTTGTGAAAAATAAATCACATGTTGCTACATTTTTTAGTTATATCATATGTAGCAACATATGACTATTCTGTTGCAAGATGTAAGTCATATGTTGCTATATATGACTGTTTTGTTGTGAAAAATAAATCAACATGTTGATACATTTTTTAGTTATATCATATGTAGCAACATATGACTATTTTGTTGCGAGATGTAAGTCATATGTTGCTTCATATGACTGTTCTGTTGTGAAAAATAAATCACATGCTGCTACATTTTTCAGTTATATCATATGTAGCAACATATGACTATTATATTGCGAGAAGTAAGTCATATGTTGCTACATATGACTGTTCTATTGTGAAAAATAAATCACATGCTGCTACATTTTGTAGTTATATCATATGTATCAACATATGACTATTCTGTTGCGAGATGTAAGTCATATGTTGCTAGATATGACTTTCTGTTGTGAAAAATAAATCACATGTTGCTACATTTTTTAGTTATATTATATGTAGCAACATATGACTATTCTGTTGCGAGATTAAGTCATATATTGCTACATATAACTTTTCTATTGTGAAAATAAATCACATGTTGATACATATGACTATTCTGTTGCCTACATATGACTGTTCTGTTGTGAAAATAAATCACATGTTGCTACATATGAGTATAATATGTTATGATAGTCAACTGTTGCAACATATATAACAATATGTTGGAAACACGAATGCAAATTATTAAAAAAAATGTAGGTACCCAGATCAGATGATAATAGTTGATTTTAAATAACCGTTAATTGTACTTACCAGAAACAATGATGTATAACGCTTATGAAGTAATTCAAATTGAACAAAACAAAATTTGATCCACTAGTTACAGTTTAAGTGAAAAACTGATTCAAGAAGAAGAAAGCACAAGCACTACCAGGGAATACCCGCCATGTACAAAAATAAGAAGAAGAAGAAGAAGAAGAAGAAGAGGAAGTTGAACAGAGCAGGAAGAAAGGAAAGCAAGCAAGCAAAGACGAGAGCAGAAGAAGAGGAGGAGGACGAATACGACGGCTAGAGGCGGGGGAAAAAAGCTTTTATTTCCTCTTTTGGCTTGATATTTTCCCACCAAAATTGGTTAAATTAGGTTTGGTGTAGTCAATTTACCATTTTACCCCTCATTTAATCCCCATCAAAAGTTTGTTGAATTAGGTATTGAGAAATTACCCTTTTACCCTTCATTTAATTTAATGGACCAAACTGTCAACTTATAATCTTGAGGGCAACTCCACAATCCTTAATTATTAATCACATAATTGTTACCTACACCCAATATTTAAGACTTATGTCACCACTCATTTATTTTGACCTTGTAAATTAGCTATTCTGGAGCCTTCTTTTTCAGTCATTGTATTATCTGTATACTTCACGCAACACTCTAAGCTATTGTTCCTTCCAAGAGACGGAAGAGACTCCCTTGAAAGACCTTCAAGATGGGTAGAAAAATTGAGATTAAGAAAAGTGAAGAAACATCAAAGCGTCAAGTCACATTTTCAAAGCGACGTAGTACTTTACTAAAGAAGGCGAAAGAGATTGCAATTTCTGGTGATGTGGATGTGTTGTTGGTCGCGTTCTCCACTGCTCAACGTCTTAGTAAATTCTGTAGCAAAAATAGGTATTGTATTTACGACACCGACAAAAATTTTGTTACGTTGTACTTGTTATTGATATGTATAAAACGAATAGCTAGATTAACTTTTTTTTTACTAAATTTCTACTTTTGTAGAATTGAAGACATCCTTCAACGCTACATTGAGCTTCCGATTGCGAGAAAATTTTCGTACGTGAACAAACCCTAAATTTCTTCTATTGATTTTTTCTTTTTTGTAATTTAGCTATTAGTAACTTATATACTATAACACTAACTTATGAGTTTCTTTTTTTGTTGGGGATAGTCATATGGCCGATGTTGAGGTACTTTACTCTTTTACATATTTATTATCGTTCTATAGTTGTAATAAATTTCTAACCTTATATCTTGTTTTTATGAATGTGAATCAATTAGTCTAATCTACAAAAGAATATGGAATAAACTGAACTTTGAATTGAAAATTAGTAGTCGCTTCATTTTAATTTGTTTGCCCTAATTTGTTTTAGTTTGTTTAACAAAATGTGTTAAGTTAGGTCTTGAGCTTAATTCATAAACCAAATGCTTACTCAAAGGGAGAAAGATTGTCTAATCACAATTTCACTCCTTACACACACATCATACCCTGATCCAGACATTTCGTATCCAATATTCCATTTATCACACACACATCCCCCTTTGTCCAAGCACAATTTCACTCCTTACACACATACACCACACCCAGATCCAAACGTTTTGTATCCAGTATTCCATTTATCACACACACATCACCCTTATGCAGACATTTATTATCTCTGATTCCATTTGTCGCCCCCACTCCGAATACAGACCAAGGGTAGTTCCACCCGCGTAACTGCCCCTTTTCTTAGGGTCCTCTTATATATTGACTCTAATATCATTTCAAGTTGATGAGGTCTTGAATCTAAATCATACCCTGGTTTAAAGAGAGGAGAATTACCTTGTCGGAGACCATTAATCACCATGTAGGACATTCAATCCTTCATCAAAAATATTTTGAATCCTTTTTGGCTACACTTTAATTTAAATTTTTAATATCACATAGTTCTTACCACAAAATTAAATGATTATTGATACCTTATAATTTCCACACGTCTTTAGCTTAAGATCATGAAATACAAAAATCTTACTTTACAAAATCGTGTCAAGAAAAAAATTAAACAAACAAATGAAAATGGAGTGAGTAATAATAAAATTTTGAAATTGACATCCTCAAAATTAACGAAATACTAAATGATCTTTAAACTAGATATAATTTGTTCAGGACAATAAGTTTGACTCATGTCAAAAAGTGTGTAATTGATAAAGTTTTGATAAATATGATTTTACCACCATTTATTAATATATATTTTTTGTTGTGCAAATGAAGGGAAAAGTGGCAAAGCTGAGGCAATTGAACCATCTCAGGGGAGATATTAGTGCCCGATACTTTCTTGATAAGCAGTTTGTATCTCTTTTCTTTCTCATGTCTTCCTTTGACTGATTTATTGTCTCTCTCTAGTTTTATTTTGTTGAATGATATTTACAAAAACTTGTACTTTAGAATAGTGTCCTTTAACATTACTTTACTTACAAAACCATATATATAAGTGTTAAACCACCACTACCAGCGCCATCGCCATCAGTGTATCCCCATATGTAGGGTCTTGGAGACTAAGTATGTAACCTTACTCCTACCTTTATATATAGGGTACATAAGTTGTTTTTGGTTGACAAAACACCTCCTTCATTATCCGTGGTTGAGACTGACAATATGAGCAAGCTCACGGAAGTAGAGTTATATTAGCGTTGTACAATATTAATTTAATGAAATGTTAGATACTACCTAGTTCCTTCATCATAGTTGATTTCTTTTGTATAAAGTGAAATTGACTCTCACTGATGAATTACATTGTCTCATGATGGCTGCCTTTGGATGTTACAACCCTCTATTGGTATCTTAATCTCTACAGGATTGAGGTGAGCATAATTTAATTTGATACCTCTCTTATACGTTCTTTTTATATTTTCAATACTATTTTAGTTAGTAGTTTGTTAGTTAAGTAAGACATTGAAATAAATGTCAATTAATCATTATGTATCTATGAGGGAAGTTGATAAAATCATTTTGATTGTGAAATTCTTTGATATAGAATTTGGAGCTACAAATAACGAAGAGCACATTGGAATTGCAGATTGTGGATGTTCATATAAGGTCATTTAATTTAGTATCACAAGTGTTTTTCTTTGTAGTTCTAAAATTATAACATCACGATTGAATACATAAACGTCACCTTAAACTTTTATTTAGATATTTAGAGTATAGTCTATTTCAATTGTCTAAATGCAATATACTAATAAATTAAAATCAGTATTTTTTTGTGTTATTTGTAGTTTTGACGATTTGACAAACTTGGGGACCTTGTAAAGGTACCAGTTTCTTAACTGAGTATTGCAGGTTTCTTGCTTGAGTATTGAAGATGAAAACAAACTTAGGGACCTAGTAGAGGTACCAGGACCTCATGATGAGGAGCAAGTTGAATTCCAGCTGGAGACTGTACAGAAAGTTGTTGCACACTTCCCGATGGCGTTAGAAAGTGTGACTTTTCCAGCCGATGGCAAAGGAGTTTAGGAAAGTGACTTGCCCATATAAAAGGCACTTTCCTAAATATTTTTGTTTAGTTTTTGCAACTTGATAAAAACTTTTCAAGAACTCTTGCAAAGGCTACTACAAAGTAAATGCAGAATTATTCCAAGAACAACAACAATATCTTGAGCTTTTCGTCTAGTTGTTTAGGAATACATTCTCTTGTTTTTAAACAGTAAACCATTCCTGAATCTATAAAGGAATTGATGTGTTGTGTTAAAAGTCTAGGTTGTCCAGGTGGGATAGCTTAGTGGGTAGATTGTTTTCTACTTAGGCTTGTTAAGCAATAGAGGACTATTGCTTAACTGTAAGATTGATAACTCTCTTTTACGTTTGGTGTAATCGTGTTTTACTTTTGCTTTTGAAGATTAGTGAAAACGATTGAAAATCCTGTGAGACAGGTCGTGGTTTTACTCTCTTAAGCAAGGAGGTTTCCACATAAAATCATTGTGTTGATTTTACTGCATTTAACTTTCTGGTATTTTTCTGGATTGTAGTAAGGGACCTGGTCCATTACTTGTTAAGTGTAGGCTCATATTCTATCAAGTAGTATCAGAGCAGGCACTATCTATTTGATTAACACCAAGGAAGTGACATTTGCTCTAGAATGGCAGCTCCACTTAACCTGGAAGAAGGTCAGTCGTAACACAGACCTCCTCATTTCAATGGACATTTATACAGTTGGTTGAAAGTTAGAATGCATGACTACCTCATGGCTGAAGACAGCGAATTGTGGGATATTGTATTGGATGGACCATTTGTTTCGATGATGGAAGAAAAGGATGAAGAGAAGACCATTACTGTTCCAAAGCCTAGGAAGAAATATGATGAGGCTGACAGGAAAAAGATTGAAAAAGGTTTTAAAGCTAAAACTCTTCTTGTCTGTGGGATAGGACCTGATGAGTACAACAGAGTGTCAGCCTGTGAGTTTGCTAAAGAAATTTGGGACTGCTTAAAGACTACACATGAAGGAACTGAACAAGTCAAAGAATCTAAGATTGACATGCTTACCTCACGATATGAGAACTTTAAAATGAAGGAAGGAGAAACAATACATGACATGTTCACCAAGTTTTCTTCCATTAGAAATGAGCTGCGAAGTCTGGGTGAACCTATAAGCATGACCAAACAAGTTAGAAAAGTGCTTCGAATTCTTCCAAAGACTTGGGAGAGCAAGGTTGATGCCATTACAGAAGCCAAGGATTTGAAGGTGCTGACTATGGATGCTTTGATTGGTAATCTGAAGACACATGAGATGAATCGGAATTGCGATTTATCAAAGAAGGAAGCTAAGAAGGACAAGTCATTGATGCTAAAGTATAAATCAGATGAAGATTCCAGTGATGATGATATGGCATATCTCATCAGCAGATTTCAAAAAGTTGTGAGGAAAAATAAAGTTTATAAAAGAGGAACAAATGGTACTCGAAATGCTGCTCAAGGTGACACTTGCTACAAGTGTGGAAAAGCTGGACACTTCATCAGAGAGTGTCCTTTGCTCAAGAATGAAAGCAAGGATTATCAAAAACCAAGAAGTGACAGCGAGAATAAAAGGGACCTGGTACTTGGCAACAGAGATCGAAAAGCTGCTGCTGATATGGTTGTCAAAAAAGCTCTTGCTGCATGGGGAGATTCTTCAAGTGATTCAGAAGACCCTGATGAGACAAAAGATGTGTCCATGGTTGCTGTGCATGAGGAGGAAACTGTCTTCAATGAAATGTTTGCTCTCATGGCTCATACAGAAATTGAAGAAGAGGACAATCAGGTAACCCTTCTAGATATGAAAAATGACTTGGATAAATATTCTCTTAAAAAATTGAGAATTTTGGCCAAAGTCATGATTGATTCTGTGATAGATTTAACATCTGAAAGAGACACCATGAATGTTGAACTTGACAGTTTAACTGAAAACAAAGTTAAACTTGAAGAGAAAATGTCAAGAATGGTGTCTCTAGAGTCTGATAATTCTGAACTTAAGAACCAGTTGAATCAAATAACTGAAGAAGCTGAAAAGCTAAATGGAATATCACATGGTTTAAGAGTTGAAATTGAAGAAAAATTGAAAAACTCTGAGAAAAGTCTGGGACTGTCTTTGGAGAAAAGCAACAGATTAGAAAAGGATATTGTCAAACTTAAGGAAGAACTTGAAAAATCTCTTAAGTGGACAAAATCCTCTAAGTTGTTGTCAAGTGCAACAAACCAGAGTAATTTCAATAAGAAAGGACTAGGAAGTTTGAATATCACTCCTCCATTTAATCCTCACAGTAAGTATGTATTTGTGTCTGACAATCTGCTTTGTCTTCACTGTGGTAAAAATGAGCATTTAAAGGGAGAGTGTGCTAGCTGGAAAAATTATCATGAAAGGCTCTCTAACTATGCTGTAAGGAAAAAGTTATCAAATGAGAGACCTAGTCCTCCAAAACATGTTTCAACTGATAGATTTTCAAAAAAAAATTTGTTTGTACTCCAAAGTCCTTTGTTAGAAAGATTCAAAAACTGCCCTATTGGACTAGATACAATCTGATCACTCCCTTATCTGCTTTCTGGGAACTCAAATTGAAATGGGTTCCCAAGCTTAACAAGTAATTCTTGTTGCAAGTGAGTGAGAGGAGCAGCAGTCAATGTTGGTATATGGACAGTGGATGCTCTAAACATATGACTGGTGACATCAAAAATTTCCTCTCACTCAAGACACTTCAGGAACGAGGTGTCTCTTTTGGTGATGGAAAGAAGGGGTATATTTTGGGTGTAGATGTTTTGTGCTGAACAATGGAAAGGATGATCTGGGAAAATTTGATCCTAGAAGTAATGAAGGAGTGTTAAATCCAACAATAGAACTCAGTGCATTAAAGAAAACATTCATGTTGTTTTTGATAAAGATGGAAACTTAAAAGACAATGGATCAAATTATGAAGATGATATGTTCAAGCTGTTCAATTCACAAAAAAAATTGAACGAAGTGAAGCTGATGCAGAATAACAGTTGAAAAATGACTTTGATGATCAAAATCATAGTCTACCTGAAGAGGCTGATGATGTTGGAAAGTGTGATGAGGTACCTGGTACTACTCTGAATTTCAGTCAGAGTACATCAAAATCCCCAGAAAATAATGACATTCTTGATGAAGAAGAACATTTGTGTGAAGAATTCTCATCTTTAATGGGAAAGGAGTTTGAAATGAGCATGATGGGTGAGTTGACATTCTTCCTGGGTCTGCAAATCAAGCAATCATCAAATGGGATTTCAATATGCCAGGAGAAGTACATAAAAGATCTGTTGAAGAAACTAAATACGTTTGATTCTAAACCTATTGATACTCCTATGGGAACAAATTCCAAGATGATAGTAGAAGAATCTGATCCCCTTGTGAATCAGACAATGTATAGAGGAATCATTAGCTCCTTGTTATATCTGACTGCTAGCAGGCCTGATATTGTGTATAGTGTTGGAATGTGTGCTAGGTTTCAAGCATGTCCTCGTGATTCACACCTGAAGGCTGCAAAACGTATTCTCAGATATTTGAAGAAAATAAGGGACCTGGTTCTCTTTTATCCTGCAGGTGACACTTTTGATCTGGTTGGTTTTGCAAATGCTGATTTTGCAGGTTATCAAGTTGACAGGAAGAGTAACTCTGGAATGGCTCATTTCCTTGGATCATCACTTATCTCTTGGGGTACCAAGAAGCAGAACACCGTGACTCTTTCAACTGCTGAAGCAGAATATGTAGCTGATGCAGCTTGCTATTCTTAGTTTCTATGGATCAGGCAATACTTGGAGGATTTTGGGATTCACATCAAAGTAACTCCTCTTATGTGTGACAACACAAGTGCAGTTAGTATGGGAAAGAATCCAGTTCACCATAAGAGAACTAAGCATAGTGATGTTCGACATCTCTTCTTGAGAGATAATGTTGAGAAGGGAAATATTGTGCTTACTTAATGTCTAACGGAGGAGCAAATTGCAGACATTTTTACCAAAGCCCTTAGCAAGGATCAATTTGAGAGAAATCGATTGAAGTTGGGGATGTTGATCGCCAAGTGATGCTATTAGCTTCAAACAGTTGAACTCCCTTGATGGCTAAAATTGCAGTGCAGGCATCCTTTGTGTGAATCTTAAATATCTGAATAAAGATCCCTTTTTGTGCCTTCTGTAGGTATACTTCAGTGAGGACCTGCTTAGCAAGAGAAGCAACTAGAACAACTGAGGAATGAAGCTTAACTGTGCTATGGTACCTGGTGCCTGTCAAGGTTAGCATTTATACATTAAATTGAAATTGAAATAATATGACCGTTGATAATGCCACGTGTCAGCCATCGATTATTCTGACTGATCAGTCCTATCGTTTCTTTCTCAAACGACGCATTCAATCACGGACCTGGCACCTTTTTACTTTCTTTAAATATCATTACTTCTTCTTGAAACTCTCATCTGTCTCTTAATTTCTTCTTACTATTCACGAAGGGTTTTAGCAAAAACTTGAAAGGCAAATTTCGTCTTCTTTTTCTTCTCTTCGCTGATTCAAGCAAAATACTTTCTAGTGTGAAAACCATGTCTTCTCCTTCATCCTCTTCCAAACAAATGTTGAATTCTCTCAGTGAAATCGAGCCTCTTGCTTTCTATTCTCCAACCAATACACAAGCCAGACCTCCTCTTTCTCCCAGACCTTACCAAGACACTCCTGATAACCCTTTTTTTGCCATATATCTAAATACTTCTGCAGTGCCTACTGGACCCGGTCCTTTTCACGACATATTGCCTGACAATATGTTTGAAGGGGATCTACCAAAACATAGGGCTTCCGAGTCCAACATACTGGCAGCAAGTGAAGAACTCGTGATTGAAAGCGTGGTCATGATGCGAGAAGAAGCAAGGGCAGAGCATACTGAAGTCTTGGAAAGGGAAGAGGTAAGACCTACTCAACCTATCTTTGATAAAACCCCTGATTTAGGTAGGTACTCTTCTTCCTCTTCCTCTAACTCTGCTAG